GGCCTAAACAGAAGTTGTTTTTTAACATATGGAATCATAATATTCAAGTGTGCAATTATAAATCAAATTTCTTAATTTTATAAACGATCCATTAAATTAAGAACTTACCTGCTCGATTCTATACTTCTTGCTCCAACGTTTTCATCACCAATTTTATTATTGTAAACTAAGGGTTCTGCTATTTCTACTTCATATTCACCAGTTCTTTTACACGAAGTCCCAATACAATCCGAATAAAACGACAAAATTATCACATCAATTAAAAACCACACTAACGAGGTTAGAAGGATAACACGGCAAGTATGAATTCGAAGTTTTCCGTGGAACATTGTTGTAAATTGGTTAAATAAAAGAAAATTAGATACAAGGTATTTTCAATTTTCAATTAAAAGATACTACTCATCACACAATACTGCTGTACGGTTAAGTATTAAAGAGATTTATCACAGATATACCTGGTCGAGTATCGAAATTAATTGTGTAAATGTTCCAGGAGGGTTTAATTATAATAATGTAGAAATTGTAAACGAAAACGAAACGTCCGATATCAAATAAAAAAAAAACAAATTTAAAACCAAGCACGAACTCACGGCTAAGTCTTACATTGTAGTCCGAGACATTTATTTAAAAATGTTCCGCATTTCGACAAAATCACAATGAGAAAACCACACTACTACATTATCATACTCGTCTTAACACGTACACATTCCACACTACGGGAGCATTGCACGACAACTGTCAACTTTATGTAGACTTTTTATCGGACATGCGCTTTCGCAGTGTTAACCTACTTCACATCTCCTTCCAATGTGATTTTTACTTCAACTACCCATTTTATATAATCTTCGGTAAAGAAGTTACATCGAATTTCTACTTGACAGTAATAATAAATATTGACAGAGATGTAATTCAACCTTTAAATATAATTTTAGATATATAACTTTAAAACAAAGGAACGTCGTTGCATAGAGAAAAAATTATCTACATATCTCTTTTCTTCTAATTTTTATCATAGAAATAGTTTTCTTTAGTGGCTAAAATTGCACTTGCCGTAGATTTACCGATCCTTACTATGTCATTTATTTATTTTGAAAGTTAGAACTTATCACAAGTCTAAATATAAACAGAAGATGCCTTGTTTCACTCTGATAATTTTTAATAGGAAAATGCACTATGTCAATAAGTATAACAATAGAAGAATGTGGCAAATTAAAATGTAAAAATAGGTTGTATTATTTGTAATCCCTAATCAAGTAAATATAAAAAAAAAAAAGAATTTTATTGAAAGTACAAAAAGTAACATTAATCTGCATACAAAAATACACCATAACTAAAAATTCAAAATGCAAAAATAACACAAAGGGTATATCTATTTTATAATTATAGACCACATAAAAATTCATTGTCAGATTTTATGGTATGCTAAACATAACAGATTATAAATTTTAGTTGGTAATTGTGATTATCACATTAAACCATAACACAGTCTAAATCAAGGTTTCAATTTTTGATATAAAGTGGTACTTTTTGCATTACAACATGTAAAAAATGTTTTCATCTTTTTAAACAAAGATGAGAATAATTATAAAACTGACAACCCTTTGATGATATCAGCTTAATTATATTCCATTTCCCAGTTCTCATATTTAAAGTTGATATTACGCACATTATCCAAGTGATAAGGAGCCTCACTCAGGTCACCATGCTGTCCAGGCCTATTGTAACGCCACTTAAACAAAATAGTCTTGTTTGGACAAGTGAGCATATGATTTTGAAAGTCTTGCTCGTGCAAAAATTTATGCAGATTATTGTACAGACAACTATAATGATTAGGGTGGTTTTTCATGCACTTAATTATATGTGGTTGTAATCGGCTTTCTACGAAAACGTGTTGTTTATTGAATGGACATGTAACTAACTTTTCTTGTCCATTAGAGGTCCTGGAATTATCACAATTATGAAAATAATAAATCAATACGTAATGTATGAAGTTCATATGAAAAAAAACTTACATTTTCTTAATCAACTGTAAATTTTTGGGGTTCCACAAGAACTCACGGGTCACGGTTTACCCCAAAATACAAACACAACGAATAAAACGTTTGCAAAATTATACGAAGGTTCCCACGCCCATAGATAAAGGTGACCGAACATTATACATCGATTTTAATTTATTCGTCGAATTGGCAAAAACATAATTATAAAATAAGGAAAGTGGCTTCGTAACCAACACCGGATACGCAATCTTTTTTAATCGAATTTTTTAGAAATTACAAATTTTCATCCGTAATACGTAATATCTTATTAAATAACCAACGAAAACATCATAATAATCTACAATTTGCACCCAAAATTAAAAATTTTTTTTTTCTTTTGTCTCTCTAATTAAATTAAACAAAAATG